TGTAGCAGCTTTAAGTACGTTAAGTGTAGCAGCTTTACGTAAGTTACGTATAGCCGCTTTACGTAAGTTACGTAGGCTGCTCTATGGGGCCCCATGGGGCCCCACGGAGTTTTGAGTCCTTCCTACGGGGGAACCTACGGGGGTACAAAATTCTGCCCTTCCTTATAAAGAAACTTTATAAGGCGTAAGGTTACTCTATAAGGTTTATATATATAAAAATATGCATATGCATAATTATTAATCAAGTTTATTAATTATATTTACTAATCATATTTATTAATTATATTTACTAATCATATTTACTAATCATATTTACTAATCACATTTATTAATTACATTTATTAATTAAAGATTTAAAATATTAATTAAATTTATTAGTTATAAAGGCTTAAGGGTTAGTAAAGACTCGTTCTTTAGCTTAAGTCTATTAGTTATAAAGAGTTGATAAAGACCCGTCCTTTTGCAATTACGTAGAATACGTTTAACTCGGTCTCCGCTTTTAGCTTAAGTTCTTGCTTATAAGCATAGTTTAGATGAATCTCGTTTGACTTAAATAGCTCTTTTAGCTTTTAGCATTTATTGCTTCACTTAAACTCATTTTCATCCGAGAACTTAAAAGTAAAGCGTTTATATGCTAAAGTGCTATCGATAGTAAAAAGGTATAGCATTAATAGCTCTTTTAAAATGCTTTTAGCTTCGGCATAATCGCTATCGAAAAGCTTAAGAGTAAGATCACTTAAGATCAATCGAACTTTAACATTTTTATAAGTGAATTGCTTTTTAATTTAGTTGAGAAAAGAAATAAAGTAGTCGAAGAGATAAAAGACTTAAGCGCTTTCTTTCTAAATAAAAAATCAATTAGTGATTATAATATATAAATGTTATTATTAACTTTATTAACACCGTAATGCTTAATGCCGAACTCGTTGATAAAACCTTTGCGACCTTTTTATTCGTAATCGAAGCCGATTAATCTTAGAAATAAAGCGGTATCCTCTTCGTTATAGCAAGTAAATATTAAATTAATAACGTTATTATTAGCATAAACGATTACGAAATCTTTGTAGCGATTAAGTATTTCGTTAATTAGCTTGTTACTATCGAGGCTAAAAAAGTTGACCTCGATTATAGCGTTATAAAAGAAAGGAATCGATATTATTAAATAAAGAAAATAATTAGCTTGAAGCAAAGAATCAAAAAGCAAAGAATCAAAAGGAAAATAATTACTTAAGTTGAATATAGTTATAGTTAAGTATTAAGGTTAATTGAGAAGTTAAGTATTAAAGTTAAAAAGTTAAGTGTTAAAGTTGAGAGGTTAAAGTTAAATGTTAAAGTTAAGGTTAAGAAGTTAAGTGTTGAGGTTGAAGTTGAGAAGTTAAATAGAAAGTAATTGTAGTAATAATAAAAAAAGGAAAAAGAAAAAGAAGAAGAGCGAGTACTTATATAAAAATAAAAGTATAGCTTAATCGTAATCGAAGCATTGCTTCGATTTATTAAAAGTGAATTATAATATTTGAAATAATAAATCGACGCGGAAC